AAACTCTTGCGAACATGATGGTGAATCTCGTGTCCTGCAAGACTCAGGTCAGCATCAAAGGCCTTGGTCCACACCAACTCCCGATTCAGCAAAGTATACGCCGATAGTTCCACTTGGCGGTCTGCCTTCACCTCATACCCGCAATGAACACCAATCACGTGGGTCGGTGTGGGCCGGATGAAACACACCCTTTGGCTCTTTACATTCATCCAGCGCTGGTACCCGTTTTGGAAGGAGTCCAAGTGTTTGAACGGCATGTAAGCGCCTGAGTTCCCTAAATATATCGTTGACTCATTGTTCGCCAAACGCTGCTCCTGCATCGGCGGCACCCGAGTCCACTGGCTGTTGCAACGACCATGGACACAGTTTAAAGTAGTCGTGGCACCCCCAAATGTCATCTCCCATGCTACTGACGCCATGACAAGTATAGCGAGCAAAGAGTGCCCTGCGACAAAAAAACAATGCGAGCCAAATGCTGTCGAGAACCCCTATGGCATGCTCTGACTTGGCCACCCAAGTTGAGTGGTTTGGCCACCTATCCATATTGAGTTTGACCATTCGTCCCCACAGAAAAGGAACATTCAAACGTGGAACGAAAATCCATTTGCAGGGCTACCAGTGCAAGCGCAAGAGAAACGTCACTGCGGTCGAAAACAATGCTGCGCCAGCCGAACTGGCATTCTCGACCAGGCCTCCGAACATTCGCGTTTACTCTGCCTGTAAAGCTTTGATGCTGACAGAAACAGCAAGCAACAGGAGCGAGCCCTATAAGCCCTGCAAAGCAAAGCGAGCCCTATATATAAGCCCTGCTTATCTTGCGATGACCTCTATAGTCACAATGGTTCCAAGTGTACTGCAGGCTGTCATCGAATACAATGGCATAATTACAGTATAATGCAATAATTGACTGTCCACACAACATGAGACTTGGAGGTGGCTCGCCTGCACGGCTCCTGCGCAAAAGCCTCAAGCATTGCACATCTATGTGAAAGCAATGAGATGTTGATACCTTCCTTTCAGAAAGCCACAACACAAAGGTGCAGCAAACACCCAAAAAAAACATGGCCCCACAACCATGCTGTTGATGTGATGCTCAACCAGCTGCGCAAAACCCTGCGCAGTAAAAGAAAGAACACTGCCATCAACAACTACCATCAGTACGCTTGTCGCTGCCATCAGACTGCGTCAACGACCATGCATACTCCCTATAGCAAAGTGTCTGCGCATCTGCGCGCTGAGCGCCTGGCCTGGATCCGTGCCCACAAAGTACTTCCAGCCAGCGTCAAACATTGCCAACTGTAGTTTCTGTGCTACGAGGCCAAGTCAAAACACCGTTGCAAAAGAGAACAAAACTTTTCATCTTACGAACAAACGGGTCGTGGTCCACCCACTAAACAAAGTTCTTTGTCCAAAGCATTACTGAGACCTTGCATTTGATCATGTGTCCCTATAGAGTTCTTGCCACCAAGAACTGACAGGTCTGAAAACGAGCTCGTCAAAGAAGACACACGCACTACTAAGAGTTCGCCCTGCTTACTGTCACAAACCCACCGCAAAACATTTTTTGAGTTTACTTTGGTAGACCCACATGCTCAAGTCCACACGGATAAAAAAACAACAAACAATTTAGCGATCACAAACCCGGAAATAGAATAGATTTTTTTAGAAATGTTGCTTTTCCCAGCCATCCTTGGACAACTTGGAATCATGTTAGACAACATGGGCAAGTGCCCTAAGTCCACTTAGTCGATGCGCTAAGTCCACTTAGCGGACACTGCTAAGTCTACTTAGCGGGTTTGCTAAGTCTACTTGCCAAGTGCGCCAGGTTCAACTTAGTACCTTCGCTAAGTTCAGCTGGCTATATCCGCCAAGCTAGTTGCATGTCAGTTGCATGTTAGCCATCTGGATGACAAGTTGGCCACATACTTACAAGAAGGGCCGGTCATCCAAGTAGGATCGCTTGGAACTAAAAGAAATTCGTTCTGCCATTTCACATCTGAATCGAAGCGATCCCACTTTGCTTATAAGCCCTCTCGACAACGTCGGCGTCTGTCATTTGACCGAAGCCGCCTGTGGCCGTAGCAGCCACGTTCATCGCTGTGATGGCCCCGCACTGCAAACTTGAACCAGAAACGAAATTTGCAAATATCTTTGTCTTGCATGAAAATATCTTTGCCCCCTCTTAAAGCTGGCATATACGCTTTCTAATCTTATTTGTGATGGCTCTTCTGACATGGCGCTGTTCTGTGTAAACATATGTCTTATCACAAGTTTTCTGTGTGGTCAGAGCAGACTGTCCCATTAATTGTTTTGGTGAAATACATGCGACAATCGCAATGGCTTCAGTGTTTTGAAATAGCAGCCAGGATTTTGTTGAGTAATCGCCAGAACGAGAATGCAAAATAGAGTTAATGAACGCAGCACATAAAATGGGCAGAAACCTTCAACCTGATTTCTTTCACATTGAAAAAATTACAAAAAATTAGACTAAGCAGTTCTAAGTCTTCGTACTTCCCTCCATCCACCGCAAGTGTGGCTCCAACCCGCGCAGGAATGCCAGTCGAAGCTTCGAATTCGAGCTAGGCCCGCCGACCATTGCCACAGCTGCGCTGGGTGCCTGACAACCAAAAAAAGAAACTGCGGCGAAACATGTTCTGTCTCCCTCGTGTTGCGGTGAACTGATTGCTCGGCGAACAACATACTGAGCTTTCGGCTGCCACAGATGGGTTTGGTGCAGTGTCGCAAAATTGTGCTCAGGCCGCACTTGTATTGAGCTTTAACTGGTTCAAGTGCAAAATGTCTACAGTCTCTAATCACATCGCAACACAGTTTGCGCTGCCAGTTGGCAATGCGGGCTAGGCCCGCTGACCATTGCCACAGCTGCGCTGGGTGCCTGCCAACAAACAGCGAGGTGCTCTGTCTCCCTGGTGCGAGAGAGGTTTCTGACACACTCAGCACATCCGGATGCGGTGTGCATTCCTCCACGAAGAACATATACTGAGGTAGGCGTACGTATGACCACTACCGCGGATGGGTTTGGTGCAGGGACTGCTGGAGTCAAGGTGGGTCTTATCCAGATGCGGTGCTGAGACTGGTGGAGACCCCGCTGCCGGAGTATGAACTGAAGGGAAAGCAACATGCAAAATGCTGACGCTTCTGAAAAGAAAACAATTGCGAACATGGTGTGCGTTGTTCGGAAGGGACACATCACAATATATTACATTCTCAGCCAACCACAACTACCACACTGCTGGGTGCTGTGAGTGGTGGAGACACTGTGGCCGGAGCCCTATCATCTGAAACACAGTCTTCTGGGCTCACACAGCGAACGTGTAAAGTAAGCAGTGGAACTGGCTCAAGTGCAAGAAACCTACAGCGCGGTGCCTGACATATGGGAAGTGAACTGTCATTGGTCTGTGGAGAAAAGAGCCCTGCGACCGTAATCACCACATCTAGATGCTGTGTGCATACACCGCCAAAAAAGAACGTACTGAGCTAGGCGTTTCGCCAGCTGTCGATGGGTTTGGTGCAGCGACTGGTGGAGCCAAGGTCGGAGCCTGAGAATGAAGCGCGGAGCTAGAAGCGCGGAGCTCTAGAAGGCATCAAGACACAAGTGCAAAAGGCACCACAAGACAGCCACAGAGCCACCGGAGTGGACCCAATAGGCACCGAGACACAGGGACAAAGCCACCAGAATGGACCCAAGGCACCGAGACACAGGTGCAAAGCCACCTGAGTGGACCCAAGCCACCAAGACACAGGTGTAAAGCCACCTCAATCGACATAAGGCACCGAAACACAGGCATGAAGCCACCTGAGCCAAGACACACCCACAAAGCCACCGAAGTGGAACCAAGGCACCAAGATACAGGCGCAGCGGAAACAAGCACCGAGACACAGGTGCAAAGCCGCCGGAGCAGACCCAAGGACACAGGAACAAGGCACGCGCTGCAACGCAAAACAGCCGAGACTGCAACCCGCAGTCCCGTGATCAAACATCGATTGGGTCAGCCGACAAAGATATAGCTCAGCCCAGCCACTCACATATGTCGCAAAGCAATGCCATTCTGCTTCAAGAAGTGATCCAAGCTGCCCACGCCACCCCACAACAATGCCAGCTTCAATGGGTTCAATGGGTGGCTCGATGCAGGAGGCTCACCGAATGCACCGCACCAAGCATTGGCTGGAAAACCGCGTGGGCCCATCAATGAGCCAGGAACAGTTGTTATTGCCTAAAGTCTTCGCATGCTGGTTGTTGGAAGTCATGCTGGTGTGTGTGTGTGTGTGCGTGTGCGGTGCAGACTTCAAACGTGTGGCTGAGATCACCTTTGGTGAATCTTGAGGCTGGACATGAGGAATAGGCATGGCAGAGTATGAAGTGAACATCTGATGCTACTTGCATCTTTTCATGCCATCCTTTCAACTACAACAAGGTTCAACTACTAAAGCCAGACGCTGACACAAGACACGCAACCACAATGACATGCACAAACACAACCACAGCACACAACCCGACGACCCACAGAAAAAATCGAGAACCACAAAACTTACGACCTTGGCAACATGCTCCTCACCATAGCATGAAAACAAATGATTGAACATGTCATGGTGGGGGTCACTCGAAGTAAAGTACTGTAGTTATTTATGTGTTTGTTACACGGTCGTTATATGAAGCTGGACATCCCGGGGACGTGCGATTTCTTTATAACAACTCCACACTTCAGTGCCCAAAACCGCGTCGGACAGGACACCCGAAGAAGTCTTGCAGTCCATCAAAATCCAATTGGCGGGGAAATGCGGGGCAGTACCCCATCCGTTGAGGGAACCTTCTCCTACAGTCTTCAACATTTAAACCCGACGGAAGCTGCCCCGGATTTGGAGGATGGTGTTCTCATCTGCTGGGTGACGCTTAACAGGAACTGCAACTCGCCAGCAAAAAGGTAGCCCCACCAACAGTGCCCTTGATTTGTGCGAGGCCCCCAGAAGTGCAGCTGAATCACCAAGGCCAAAGCCATTTTTGAGCTGCTGCTCTACCCAGCCGATTTCCAAGTGGATGGTGTCCTTCGTGTGTGTGATTCAATTTGGCCATGGTCGGCGAACGACGAATCCAATGATTCGCACAAAACTTGGTCGAACAAACTCTGCAATTCGATCTTGGCTACCATTGTGCAAGTACCTCATCTATTGGGTATGCTGTAGGAATGGGGCCTGTGAGATTCCCAAAATATCACACAATGGGTGCACTGCCCGAAAAACTGTTGTAGCAGTGCAGGACTTGCCTGGCGCTTGCGGAGCAAGCCGATAAGCCGGCAACCTCCAAATATACCGTATGAGCCATGGAGTAAGAGGCCACATGTTTGCTCGAACAAGTGAACTGTTCACGTTTGATGTGTCTCTTCAAAAACGGCACTTACATTAGGAGCGAGACACAGCAAAAGACTTATATTGGGCACACCTCCTATCTTGAGACATCTCCGTGCTGTCTCTCTTTTGTGAGGGCATTAGGATTATATTGGGCACCGCAGCACCTCTTTCGGTTTTAAACGTTTAGTACAGAAAGAACGGACCGCACACAGCACGACGAAGCTCGACACTGACCCACCAATCCAGTCGCTCACTAGATCGCATCCGGTCGGTCTTTCCCCAGCTCAGAGCGGTTCCAACTGAAAGCCAACATAAAACCTTGGTTCATCTTGGTTCCTTTATGATCCTTTTATGTAATACAATAATCGTGTCACCAGTGCTTGTCCTTAAGTCTGCCTTGTTCAAGGTAGCTTTCCACTCTTCCTTCATTCAAGTGTCAGCGGTCTGCTTCGTCAAAGCCTGCAGATTTGTCAAGCCCTTTTCAGAGCCTTGTGGGTTCTAGACCCTGTTCTTCTACTTCCCTACCAGCCTACCGGCGTACTACGTTACACGCCACCAAACAAAAATAAGCAAGGAACAGCTTTAAACGGGAGCCCTAAGATTCCAAAACATGTATTTCGTATAGTCGAGGGCTGCTAGCCTATACCCCGTCTTGCTGGCCTATACCGCGTTCCAGCATAGTATAGTCGAGAAGTTGGCATGGTATAGGCGTTAGCATAGGGGATGGTATAGGCTTGCATGGGGCATGATATAGGCGCTCATACCTTGATCACCACCTGTAACAATATTGTTGGGCCCAACTTGCATATTATATATAAAAACAAAAGACACGAGCCAAACCACCACTGGCCCCTCAAGGTAACTTCACTTGTTCCACACGCATCCTATTTCAAGTTGAGCTTGCGAACCCGCTGCTACAAGATTAGCAAAGCGGCTGTCTGAGATAGTTCATTTGCACATCCATTTCAAAACAGTTTTGGAGGGGGGGGGCTATCCATGTCCTGGTATGTCCTTTCCACGGTTTCGTATAGGCTGTCCACGGATTCATATAGGCGTTCCACATTCTGTCCACGAGTTGTCCTCGTTTCGTTATTTTATTCAATTCTCGGTGGATGACCCTGCACGTGCACTGTAGACTCGGCGTTCCAAAGATCAGGTTGTGAACATCTCAATTAAGGCCGGTCAAGGCTAGAAAGGTCATGAGCACTTCGATTAGCACCATGTGCCCTTGAGTGAAGTTTAAGGTATATAGTCAACGAAGGGCCCTGGTATAGTCGACCACCAGGTCCTGGTATAGTCGACCAATCCTCCGTTTATCATCGCTCAAATCCCTTGTGCAGTCGACTGACCCTGGTATAGCCTAGCCTATGCCAAATACAGTCGAGGAAGGCCAGGAGGAGTGTTGTAGCATGTGATTGGATGCTAACAACCACATGCGGAACACCTCAATCAGGCGGGTCTTTTTCAGGCATTGGGGTCCGAACCACATGCGCGGTTGGTGTGCTATGGCCTGCCTCATGCCGGGCCTATCGTTCGTTCGGCCCGGAAGGCACCTGTCGACATCACATGTCCGATCATGTCATCCTGCCGACTCAGCGACTCAGCAACTCAGCGAAGGCACCATCAAGCACCACGAGCACTCCACAAAAGCATCCCTAGTAACCCAGCACAAACTTCAGGCTTAGGGCAAACTACAGGGCTTAGGGTTTGTGGGTTTGTGGACAAAGACATGACCAGCATCATCTTCAGCTCCTGGCCTCTGAAGGGACATTTGCTAGGAGCAGGCTGAGGAAGGGAGTGTTGTTGTTACTACTGTGATCTGAAATCTTTCACACACATGTCACATAGGTCGTAAACACGAAGCCGATGGCCTCCGGATGGGTCATCAAGGGGCCTTCTTCATTTGGTGCAATCTGAGGCACAAAATTCAAGTTCCGCCGGATGTCGATGGGATCTTCAATGTGCAAATGCATCCTGGCAGTTGATCCGCTGTGCTATCAGGATCGACCATCAATACCCCCCTTGTGGTGCCATTGTTGCGCGATTGCAGGGGCAAAATGGACCCAAAACATCGTCGGCTCACTGCGCAAACCCCAATCCAGGACCGTGCGGGTCCTGAATCCGGACGGAAGGACCAAATCTGGAAGGTCACTGGAGGATTGACTTTAGCGGGCTATTTAAAGAAGCATGAAGCTGCCTCAAAAAGTTGCAATGTCCAATCTAATTGTGCACCCATGTTTTTTTTTGTGCGGCGTCTCCGGCACATGAAATCGAAAATCTATCGCATCTCCAGTGGATGTGTTGGCGCTCAACCCTGGCATGTGTGTGTGTGCCCCCTTCCGTTTTCGTGTGCAACTACCACTCTACCGAATTCAGCAGGGGGACGACGGCCAGTCTTCCCACGTTGCCCAACGGAGCTACAGAAGACTGGTGAAGCATTCAGGGACGCCTGAATGTGTACCTGCGTTTTTGAACTGTTGACCAAGCTGTTACCGCTGCGCCGACGTTTCAACAATACCTGTTACTGACCCATCGCCATGCCGTTATGCAAGTCAAGGTCTATCGTAGTAGCCTGAAGGTCTAATTGATTTCTGACGATCACTAAAAATGATGTTCCTTCATTGGAACTATGAGTCTAAGTGTGTGTGTGTGTGTGTCACCCCCTGTGCCAAAGGGTTCAGTGCCACTGTTTCCATTACAACCACTCAACGAGGCAGGGGGGCGTAGCGTGTTCAGATGACTACGCCCAACGAAGCTAGTCTGAACACGGGATACCAGGATTGGCCATCCTGGCGTACCTGCGCTGACGGAACTGTTGCTTAAGCTTTTCCACTTTCTGTTTGCTTCCATGGTCCTTCATGCTACTCCCCACAAACAGGTTTCCCACCGCAGCTTTCAGCCGCTTGTGAATTGCAGCCAGCCGCGCGAGTGAAACATTTTTTCAACAATTCAAGTCACCGGACTCTTTCGCCTTGCCGTTCCACCACCTTCCTTCTCAACTTGGGAACTGAGTTCACTGAATACCAATGTCAGAGTGTGTTTCGCTCAGCCGTCCCACTCGGGTGCTGAGTGTGATCCCGTCACTGGGGCGCTGAATTCATGCCGGAAATCGTGTAACTGAGCTTTTCCACCTTCACCGGAATTCACCACTGGCTCAACCTTAACTGAATTTACTGCTTCCACGGCCGCCGGGCCAAAAAACGGATTTGACCAGCCGCCGGGCTTAAAAACAGAATTCATCCCGCTCCAGGCAGGTCTCCCTACCCTTCCCCCCCCCCACCGTGTTCTACTCCCTACCTAATTAGGGTAACACAGGGAAATGGTACTCGACACACTTGTGTGTCAGTGCCTTTCCCTCTGTTGTCCCTGTCTAGTCTACTCTACCCGGGCGGTTTAAGACTAAAGTCCCGCTCCCTAGCTATTGCACTGTAATTCGTCTCGGCTAAGTAGTCAGTAATCCTAGAGTGCTAAGTATTCAGACACACACATGTACACACACATGGACATACACCCCCTCCCTGCCCCCCCCTTTCTTTCTTGCGCTTTCCGTCGTTTGTTGGGCTTTCACTCAGGCTTTTTAGGTTGCTCTTGAGTTTCGTTTCCCTACCCCAGTCAAGGGCTAAGTATTCATTTTCCTTTTCTACACCTACCTTTCTCTCTTGCCCTCTTAGCGCTGCTCTTTCTGTGTTTCTTTCTTTTGTTTCTAAGGCTTTTTAGGTATCTATTCAGGCTTTCCACGCGAGCGCCGCCAAGCGGCGCCGTGTGTGTGTCACCCCGTGTACCAACGGGTTCAGTGCCACTGTTTCCATTACAGCCACTCAACGAGGCAGGGGGGCGTAGCGTGTTCAGATGACTACGCCCAACGAAGCTAGTCTGAACACGGGATACCAGGATTGGCCATCCTGGCGTACCTGCGCTGACGGAACTGTTGCTTAAGCTTTTCCACTTTCTGTTTGCTTCCATGGTCCTTCATGCTACTCCCCACAAACAGGTTTCCCACCGCAGCTTTCAGCCGCTTGTGAATTGCAGCCAGCCGCGCGAGTGAAACATTTTTTCAACAATTCAAGTCACTGGACTCTTTCGCCTTGCCGTTCCACCACCTTCCTTCTCAACTTGGGAACTGAGTTCACTGAATACCAATGTCAGAGTGTGTGCGCGTGCGCGTGCGCCCAGAAAACAATCAGAATTGAAGAACATGTCTGTGATTCGCGCATCCAATCAAGGCATTCTGGGATCCCTAATTGAACAAGAAAGAAATTAGGAATAGAGCCAAGCGCTTTGGTAAAGGTACTCCAAACTACCTGGATCTACAAATGGCAAACAAGAATTGTCCGTACGGCCTTGCCCTTTTTTCGTTACGGCCTACGGCCCATAGCAAAAGAGTTATCTTCAATGGTTTGACCATATTTCTTGGCCATTACCGGTTGCGGCTGAAAGCGGCCAGAAAAAGTAGCCGCTGTGGAGTACTGTATTGGCCCCAATAAATTGGCCGGACGCACGCGCAGGTAGTATTCTGCTATGTCCTCGGTGTGATTCTGCCCACACTGCCATCCATCCAAGATCTATGCCCAGCCACCTTTTGTTCTTCAGCTGAATCAAGCGTCGGGAGCGGATGGTAGAGTTCCGCTGTCCCAGTCGGACTGAGACCACATCCTCAGCGGGAAACCCTCGATGTCTTTCAAATCTAAGGGTGGCAAGCAACATGTGGGCATGCATCAATCCTAGACTCTGAGGGCGTACAAGTAGGTTGCTGTGTGGCTGCTGTGCGTTTTGAGGAGGAAAAGTCCATGGTCCATAGTAACACTGTTTCAGCCCTGAAAGTCCCCAAACCTCAATGCACGCAACTGGGGTGCTTATGTGGACCTCACACAATGAAAAGCAGGCATGCACTGTTACATTGTCACAGGTGTCACATCACCCTATCGGTTTGCAACACGCGCCAACAGTGACAAATAAGCCTGAGCAGTTCCAACACAAAGGCTATGTGTGTACAGCATGCATATAAAATTTATGTATAAGTATGTATAAGTCATACGCACAGGAAGTTTGACATCAAAGCTTTCAGTGGTGGATCATGATCACATTAAATCAACTTCAATCGCGTGACTTCATGTTGTTTCCTAAGTGTATTGACCACCCAGGACCTGTGCAAAGTAAAAAGCCATACGTCGCGCCCCCTAAAGGGTGTCCATAAGAATACTTAAGAATAGCTACTTAGACGTGATTCAGTCAGTGTCCATTCACCACTCTGACGCGGTGGCCCTGGTCACCCGGCCTGTTTCCAATCAAACTCATTCGCGTAGAAATCGAAAAAGCCCCGCAACAACTGGGCACAGCTCCATGGCGGCGGGCTGTTCATCCAGGCCTGCCAGATCCAAACTTCCAAACTACAAAAACATAAAAAGCACATGAAGCAACCCCCAAACTGGCTAGACATGTTGTTCATTGGGGTCTATATTCAACATTGCATGCAGCAACGCAGCTAGTCAAGGTCAATCTAAGGTGTGTTTCTGACACCAGATTTTAACACTTAGTTTAGTACACCTCACCAATACGCCTCACCTGACATGTGAGTGATCATCAAGGATGATGACACAAAAGAGTATTGTCAATAGTGTCCGGGAATTTCATTCATTCTATATGGCCAAATGCTAGGGCATTGTCTTGTGTTGACAGCTAAAACCCAAAAATAAACACCTTTGGCAACAATTTTGTCTTTATACAATTGTAAACCAAAGTGTATCTAATAGCAATGGCCTCCAACCTAAGAGCATTCATGTTCATTTGGCACGCTACTCTGATTTGAGCTGAGCGTTGCCCAGCTTTCACTGAACGCCCACAGCAAAAGTTAAACTATTCGAGCCTTACGCTCTGTGCTGTTATCACAGAGGCCAACAAAGACATTGCGGCGCACTTGCAGGAGCCGCCCAAAAGGATATCGCACACGCCAGTGCCAGCACTTAGGGAAGATGCAAGGTTTTCGGAACTCAACAGTCATCAATCAAGTAGGGAGCTATTCGATGACATATTCGATGAATTCGAGGAAAGTTTTGGTTTTCTATTGCATTGGTATGTTCCTGCGTGTATTGAAGGGAGGCGCACGTCTTTGGGCGAGGGCCATTAGGTTCAGCATATGTTGTTGGTTAGCCATGTCCATGTCCATAGGCAGATGTGGGTTAATGAGTGCGTATGCATCCTGACATGTTTCGAGCAGCCAATTAGCTCGCGGTTTGCCTACTCGTCGGGTATATTCGATCCGAGGTGTGAAAGTTCCTGAATCGAAAAGGACTTCTCTCATAGGGTCAAGAGGCAGCGCACGGAGAATGTGCCCTAACAGGCAAATTTTGTTTAGTTTCCATCTGTTCGAGAGACTGACATGCCGGTATCCGAATTGTTGTGATAAGTTTTCTATTATTCGTTGGTTTGTCCATGCTCTGTCAATATATGTGGAAGGTACCCTGAGATTGTTCTTCAGCATCTTCATCTGAAAAACATCTATTGAGTTTAGTTCTGACTTTGTAAGTTGCATGGTCTCTAGCCCATAAAGAAGCTTGGAACTCAGGGTGGCCTCAAACACCCGTAATCTCCACTTTACGGTTGTACCAGCTTTGGACCAGAAAAGCTGTAGCTGTGAAGCCATGGCATTTACTGAGCCAATCCGACGTATAACTTCTGTATGGTTATCCACGGAATCTGTCAACGTTGCTCCAAGATATAAAGCTTTGTGATTTCCGAGGGGCTACAGTACCGTCCAAAAATTTGATAGAGGACGGGTTGCGATTTATAGTCAGGTTTATACATTTGCCCATGTTTAATTTCATGTTGTATTTTCCTGATTCTTGTTGGACAGCCTGAAGAAGTTTGTTAATTGTTTGGGTGTGGGTACCAGAGAGCAAAGTGTTATCTGCGTAGAGGACCTCAGCAAAGTGAATACCTGGGATAGGTTCGAGTTGTTTCGGTGTGTTCAAGGTGTGTCGGATATCTGTGAAAATGGCTGTCATAATGATACTGGAGAGATACGGAGAAAGAGGACACCCCTGCCTAGTACCAGAATCTTGCATCCTGAAGCTCGAATCGATATCCCCTCTGACAACTCTGAATTTTGCTTCTTTGCAAATATTTTGTATAGAGTTTACTATGTTTTGAGGTACTTCTAGCCGTTTGAGCACTTGTATAAGCTTGTATTGGTCAATTTTGTCAAAAGCCTTTTCCCAATCGAGAAGTACAAGGTTCAGATTTGTACCTTGTCTTTCTGCTAGGTCCATCAATCGCCGCGCCAAAAATAAGGCCTGTGAAGTAGATTTGCGCGGCCTAAAACCATACTGTGTTTTACTAATCCATGGGTCAAGTGCAGCAACCAGGCGTTGTTTAAGCATAATTAGCAGCCAGTAACTTATAAAAGGTCTGCAGTAAGGCAATTGGCCTATAATTATCAAGCTGTGACGGGTCCCCCTTTTTGAAATAGAAGCCATATTAGGAAGATTGAGTGAATCGAAGTATTTACCGTTCAGTGAAAAACCTATTGTGAAAAACACCTTTGTGAAAAAACACCTTGGGTAACTTAACAGTCAAATTCCTGTTCATTATTTGTTGGCAACGTCTCACTTTGTTGGTCAAGAACGTCTCAAATCCGAAGACGCAGCTGTGCCGTGCCTCGTGCGCTTCCTCCAGGGTGGCAAAGCGGGCGGCAAAGTCTATGGGTGTTTCTTCGCCCACGAGCGCGTGCAGGCAGGGAAGCTGTCGGGAAATCTGGAAATAGTAGACCACCTCAGAAGAGTTGGCTGTTGAACAATTGTGCAAAAGCGAAATTGAGGAGTTGGAAAGATTCATATATGCTGATTAGCAACAAGAAGAACAGCTTCTGAACGGGATCCCACCCCAATCATCCCCCTTTTTCCCCTTCATCGAAGCCGGGCAAGATATTCAGTTCACGACCTGAGCTGCTCCAAGTTAAACTGTTCCTGTTCTGGTCTTTGTACGTTCATTTTGGCCAACTCAAATCGTTCGTTCGGTTCATTCGACTGAACCTGAGACTCAGTATCGGATACAAGTCGTCTGCTGCATGGAATGAACCAGAATCCGATTCAGGCCCACCTGTCTTTCCACGATGGTCCAGCTACACCTTTGGGTCTGGAGGTGCTAGTTCGGACGAGTGACCATGAGCGTCCAAGCATAAGAAGAGATGAAGCCTGGGGTGTTCAGGGCGCTGGCAGGGACCGAAGGAACTCTCCAAGACCTTAGGAGGAGTTTTTGGCTTAACTCGATACTGAAAAATGGTATAAACATGTATCGAGACTCGACTGGTGAACATGACGGAGTCGATACTGTGCATCAAACGGGGTGAACAAGCTACATGTTGAAAGTCTTTTTTGGGCCCAGACAGCAAAAAAGAACAGTAGCTGACCGGGTGTTGAATTCAGATTCTTGAGCAAATCACTATACAAATTTGTTCACTTAATGGTGAAATCTACAACTGAAACCGACCAGCTTTCAGCCTTCCGTGTGCGTGGGGGGAAGGACTTTCCCACGAGAGTCAGGATGAACAGATGTCGTGATACAGAATGGCGATCCCCAAGCCTTTGCGATACAGACTCGCATGATCTCATAACTCATTTCCGGTCTTTGGTGTCCACATACTGACAGCAGTTCTTGATTTGTGTTCCTGAGCCGAATAAACAGAACACCCATGCCATGTGACGCCTCAAACTGATTGGCACTCCGTTTAGGCGATAATTGGTTCGGACTGCAGGTATGACATACTTGTGGGCCAGACTTGGATCCCAACTCCGCTCAATTCGCCCAAAGGCCGCTTCTACCAGGGCGCTTGTGTGTGTCTAAGGAAAGCCCCGGAATGAGGTGATTCAGGGCAGGGTGTTCATCAATCACCTTCTGTGGCCCTGGTATACATTGTATCCATGTGCCATATCATATCCTGAACACAGGTGGCAGGCGGCACGAACCGCAAAAACAGAAAACAATTCGCCCACCTCCACACCCCGCTGCGGCTACCATGCCTTCATAGGACTTGGCGATGTGATGTGCCTTTGCCCAGCGTTTCACCGCCAGAGCCACCACAGAGAGCCGAGGATTCAGCAACGTGTAGCCTGCGGCAGCTTGGCAGCCTCTAAGGGGGTGTGCCACGCGCAGCGTTTCACATCGTTTCAAGACCGGCCCCCTTGCATACCACACCTTTTCACACCCCGTCCCGGGTATAGTGGGACGGAAGGGGTTTTGTTTTGACCGAGGCTCTGCGTAAGAGGCGGGTGTTCAGGAGTGGGAGCAAGTTGTTGTAGCTCACATCGATGTCAAAGCCATCCTTCCTAGAACGTGGATGTGGCCAGCTGGAGCGATGGACGTCTTGCCCTCAACCTTGAGGGGACCAGCTCTTCGTTTTTAAGCATGAGGTGTCAAGAAACATCACTTTGGTTTGCAAGGACCCCCCACACTCCCGATTGATACTTTCAGGGAACAATGGACGTTGGAGCACATGCCGAATAAGAATCAGAAGGGTGTGCCCAGCAAAGTACTGAAGTGCCGCTGAACTTTTGAGTAAACCAGTGATGCGGTGCAGCTCGGGATTGGGCTCCGAGAGAGGGCCTCTTGCTCCGGCCCTGTCTTTGTGCTATCCACCTGCATAAAGGGCCCACCAGCGCCCCGCATCGCAAACCATATCATTGATTTAAACGGATACTATATATCTCATTGTCCCTGGACGATGTGGTGTTGCTCTTGCACAGGGGGGGAGCAAACTTGCAGCCTCACAGTGGCAACAAAAGTGTCGGCGTATCGTATGAGAGTATGTATATGAGAGCATGAGGGGCGCCAGCAGCACCACCACAAATAACACAGCGGCTCGGGCACAAACTGTGTCCCCTAAGACTAGGTTCAATCGGGAAAACATCCCCGAAACAACCCTCTCTTGAGACTGATGCCATGCCTTCCGGAGGAGGAAACCCTCAATCACCGGAAGTGAGACATGGTGCCATTACCGTTGGATTTCTGATGTGATACTGGGAATCAACATTTAATTACACTCTTCAAATGTCTTCCACATCTCCAATTAATTAATGGATTGGTTAAAGGGACACAATAGCCCATCCCTACGAATCCAAGTACCTTGTCAAAAGGTGATGTGTTCGACACTGTTCTGTAGGTGCCAGGAGGGTCCAGTCGTACCGAACCTGAGGTTCGGTACAGTCGTACATTCCTGGGGCATCGATGTTCAAACAACTGGTCCGGTCTATTTTCCGAACCTTGCAGCGATTTTTTGGCTCTGCGAGGTCTCCCTAGGCCCTTAGACACTCCCTAGTTTGGATGAATGGCATGGTGCATAGCTTTAAAAACACATTCAACGATATTCATGCAGCCCGTGGAATGCGGCATTGAATTGTCTCATGCGATCCCAGTCTCTCCAGGATCAGGATCGGCACCTTCGATGACGAGCGCAGCTCGTGCACCACGAAGCCCTGTACATCGCAGACCTTAAGCGCACCGAGCGGAAGAGTGCGCATATAAACGATGTAGAATCTTGATAAGTAGGAAAAGAAGTGGGCTCTCTAATTCATGTAGACTGTAGACCGTTGATTAATACATAAAGAAGTTTTACAATCCAAATCATTGGTGCGGTAATCAGGATTCTACATTGTGACGGATGACATGTGGGTGCCACTCATAGCCTTAACATCATGAAACAACTCGAGCCGCAGTCTAGACTGCTCTGAAAGGAATGTGATCAACGTTGCATAGATAATGATTAGCGGGCGACTGTTGGCAAAGCAGTCCCCCCAAATCATCCAGCCACGCTGGGTCCAAACTTGGCAAACCCGCATCCATTTGCCATCTGATTCTGATCCACATGGTGACTCCTTATCCATGATCCGAAAGCAACATCTCCGTGCTTTGTCCGACATGCCTCCACCCAGTGCAGCACCCAAACCGCGCCTCGCCCAAGGCACACAGGGCTGACACTTTGTCCCTGCACGCAAGCGCTTGATTAAGAAAAATGGCCCCGGGAGGCTGCGTGCCTGGTGTAAAGCATGCACAAAACATAGAGCATTGCATGAGGTGTTCATGTTGTCGGGAAGTGACTTATAGGTGTCCCTCTTTTTGCTGAACACCCCAGGTCATCAATCGAGTCTTCTGAGAATTCTAGATGAAATCGCCCTGCTTGGCGGCACTTTGCGACATGATGTACTGGTGGGCAGTGGGCTGCGGCAACGCCTGGCAGGGTCCCAGTGACTCACTCCAATGGCTCAGCATCCCATAGCTGCTGCGCTAAGCTTCTGCTCATCCACCAGGTTGAAAGCTATTCAAACGAGTCCACAAGAATGCTTGGCAATATGACCCCCCTGCAAACGAACATGTGAAAAAGAACCCCTGTAAGAATCTTCTGATCTACCACCCAGTGGTTTTCAGAATCCATGTAAAGCTGCGGGGCGGGAGGTAATGCAATGGAATGGGTCGCGCCTCGATTCGATGCCTCCCCTCTTTCAGAGTCTTGGTGAAAACATGTGAAAACCATTAAAAAAAAAACAATAAACACCCACACCCAGCGACATGCCCTCACCAAACCCATCAGACTAAAATGGCTTTCAATTGGGGTCACTTGCCACCAGACTCTCTTGACCTCTTCCCGAGGAGACCATATACCAAAGAGATGGTTTGGGGGGCTGTTTCATGCTGTTTCCCTGCATATCGAGGATCATGGTCTCGAAGGCGTCACGTTCCACGTTCCACTGTGTTGCGTGCGCACGGATGATTGATCAGAGGGACATGTCTGTCACGCACGTTCCATCACGAACTCGTTCGAATGAATCATAGTAGGTGTCATGTCTAGTACCGGTTCTTGTACCGTATACCGGTGCTACACGAAGAACGCACCTACGGTGAACCGGGTCTCATCCATTCTCATCCGGACCGGTCGGACGTCGACCCGTTTCTTTTTTTCTGTTGTTGGGGTCGGGAGGGGTGAACCGGGGTCCCCAAATCGATGTAGGGAACAGTTGCAGTTATTAGACATATCATTCTATTTCATTATATCATACCCCACCTATGACCCTAAAAAAGGAACTATATATATATATTCCATTCAGGGCTTGTCTGGGCTTGGTGACCTTTCAACGTTGATTATGGGGATGGGATTGACGGCATGTTGGCATCTCACGTTGGACAACTCTATCCTGGGTGGAATCCTGGAAACATGTAGAACAAAGTAACTCACCCAGAAGAGGTTCTCGCTTCGAAGTCAACGGCCATAAACAGAAATGCAAGAAGAGGCAAGAGGCTATTTAAGGTTTTTCCCCCAGATCCTTGGAAGCACTGATGACCATCTGAGATACATGAGAGCCCAGTCTTGCACCTGTGATACCCGTCATAGGAGCCGGTGAGACGACGAACCCGGAGGACCATCGTTCTGGAGGGTGGACACATGGATTCCTCATACGCCATGTTTTTCACGTCGAGCGATCCATGGCCTCTTATTCCGGTCAGGTCGAGCAGGGTGACTCACCACCATATCCTGCAAATGCAAACCATGCCGTGTGACCATGGAACACCGTGGTGACCTTGCTGAGAAACCTCAATCTAGCGAGAGTCCATTCACCTCGTGTCCAACGGGAATGATTCATGACAAGAACATTTCAAGTGCTGTGCACAAGTTCGGCATCTTAAGAACAAGGTGATGAGGAGTGACGAAAAGTGAGCCACGCCCCCCGCGTCACTGACGCTTCTCCAAACACAGGATGAACGGAATTGCTTTTAGCATCTTTTAGCAGGGCTCACCTCGACTTCAAGGGAAGCTGTTTGCAAAGAAGGGGATGCTGACACAGGCTATGCCTATGCAAATTTGCCAGCATGTGGCGCATGTCCTGAAAGACCTGGATCAAAACCGGGTGACACACAAACAATAATACCAAGTCAGGAACACAAAAGCGGAAGCGCCTTGGATCATGACCCTACAAACAGACCTAGTACCAAGTTTAGGAAGCAGAAAAGGCGTGAAGAGGTATCATGGTAAAATATGGCCAAGATTCATTCATGTGATTTCACGTTCATCCTCTACCTTGCTACACCTTGCTACTGTACATATGAATCTGGGGGTCATCTGCACAACTCCAGGGCCACCGAAGAGTTGCGTCCTCTGGTACACCCCCGTCGCTCTTAGGGTGGAGGCGATAGTAGGTTGGAGGCCAAAGCTCTTAGGGTGGAGGCCATCACAAGTAGGCTGGAGGCCATTGCTATTAGGTTGGAGGCCATTGCTATTAGGTTTATTTGGTTGGAGGCCATCGCTCTTAGGGTGGACGTCATCCCTTCCAGGTTGGAGGCCGCTAGTAGGTACCCCCCCCTTCGTTGGATCTCGCTTTGGATCCCGGCCATGTCGGCATCGCGCTCCCCACAGCCATTGGCGCTGGAGCCGAAGGGCCACACCTGACAGGGCAGAGGGCCGAGAGGTGGGGGACACCCGGTCGGTCATGGAAAACAGGAAAACAACTCACCCGGTGTAGTGACTGTAGTGTAGGCAGAAGATGTCAGTACATGTCGGTCAGTACTGACCCCATGGGCCCCATGACATTGGAATAAGAATCAGACATGGTGGTGGTGGCTCAACATGACTCACTTCGGTGCCAACCGTTGGGTGTATGTGTCCGTTGTCGCTTCAAGGTGCGAATTCATCACCCACACTGAAGATATACTTAAACTTCTGGAAACTTGAGCAACACCTCTCCAGGCTGCTTTCGCAACTGGTGCAGGGAATCTAATTTTAATACACATTCAATCCTTCTACTTGCATTCCGCACCCTGAAGTCCTGGATTCCACGAACCAGAAAGCACACTGAAGCCACCACTTTTTCCGCCGCGCGCACGTGCAGCTGCTTCCTTCCCGCTTCGCTTCTCTGGTAGCTCACCCGGTAGCGTCCCGGCGCACCACGCACCTCCACCGCCACCGGCGGACCCTCCTCCTCATCCAGAATCGCCTCGGACGGTCGTCAGCATCTGCGGAGTTGGAGTCCAAGCAAATCTCCAAGTTAGAATGCGCAAACAAGTCAACTGATATGTTTCAAACCTATATAGATGGTACAAACAAATCGACTCATAAGTTTACCCAATCTTGATTGCAAAAGCCCATCGGCTTATAAGTTTCTCAAATTTAGAGGGCACCATCTTATGGACTCATATACATTCATAGGCCACATTGTCATGTGCCATTTGACATCAATAGTAGCCTCATCAAGGTGTACCTCTGTCTTTTCTCAATGATGGTCTTGATTCTTGGGTGATTTATTCTGGATGAGCTTGTAGGGGCTTGGGCTTGCGACGGTGCTGGTGTGGCCAAAGGTCAATGACCTTCCCTCGTTTCACATAGCACATGTCCGTGGATTTGGGAGCGCGTCCTCGTCAGCATAGCCTAGCTTATTTATTTAGAAGCGGGAAATCAATGGTGAAGTGATTTCTGTTGCGTTGTTGTTCTAATCTTGTTGTTGTTGGTGGTGGTGGTCGTCGTTGCTGCTAATGCAACTTGACAATATATGCATCATAATTTGGTATAACTGTTGCCTGCCTGAGATTCAGCACTCCGCTTGCTGATATCTTTTGGAGAGTCTACGTACACTCTGACCCACGTTTGCCTACGTTCAGCTGGAAGTGGAGGGCGACCCCAAACATTCGGTGCATCCGAACTGGTCCTGCACGAACGTCTAACTGCCAGTTTGGCCTTAACAGAAACTGGTCCGTGGGGCACGGAACATGAGAGGCCACAAAATGTCCCTGGTGATCATTTTGATATATGTTGAGTGTACATGACTTACAGTTGTTAATGTTTTAGGACCACATGAATTATCAATCTCTCCAGCTTGGATCGGAGGACCAAGAGGAACAACCCTAAATGTCCTGCTGTCTCAAGGACAGCACCGTCTTTTGCGTGGAGAAAATCCACCTGCTCTAGCAGCACGCAATGCTGGTCAAGGATCAATCCCAAAGTTCCAACTTCGCTCCTCATGCCGGTTGCACCGCACACGCCGCCCCAGGTTCTGCTGAAACAAGTGCTTCTCATTCGTTGGGGGGGTCTATTTCTTAGAATTCTCACGGATGATGACACTTCTCACGTTAGGACAGGCGGTTTATTCATTCCAACAAATCATTGGAATCTTTCTTTAGTGCTTATGGTTGCACACGTTAACAAACACATGACTTTTACAAACTCTACTTTGCTAATTTGTGAATGGGAATAACAACATGACGGGATGCAAAGTACGAATTGAAAGCTATGAATTGAATCCACGTGGAGGCAGTGTTAAATTTTAAAATGATTCAGCAAAACACCAGAAACTGCAGCTGCCCAACACCTCCTATCCATTCCTCTCCTGCATCTGCTTGGCTTCATCCCTTTCATCCAGCTCCAACCGTTGGATGGGGTATGTCCAGAGAAGCTGAACCAAAGACTGCTCGGTCTGAAAGAGATCCGCCCGCTCGTGCCGCCCGCGCGTGTTGTCAATCTTCTCGCCATCGACCCAAGTTCGGTTTAACCTCAGCGGCTGCCCATTCGGTCATCGGTTTAGCCCGGTCACAGTGTCGGCGGTGATGTAGTTCAGAAAAAGAAAGTGTTGACTAATTCATGAAGCATGTCTAGATCACAGAGTTGGTTTAAGGGAACATCTACAGGAAATCTTGCGAGTGAAAGCCATGGCTTCCGGTAGAATAAATCTTGGAGTAGAGCTTCAGCCGTGAGCCTGTCGACCCAGAAGTTGACGACCGTTCATTCATCACCTTCCAGGCCCTACACATGTGATGAACAACTATTTCTGGGATCCAGCCACTGGGGGGGTGAAAAGGAATCTACCATCAACATGATGTGTTGTGTTTAAGATCTTCAAAAAAGGTGATAGCTGATAAATCAACATGAGTAAGATCAATCATGTAGACTCTTGATGGGATCTAACCCCCTAGTAGAATGGTCTTACATCTAACGGTGGGGACTATGAAGCCTATGAACCCATCCGCGTCTGACGATCTCAACGGTGGAAACGGCAACGACCCGCGTGACGCATCTGAGACCTCGAGGTCTCTCCCTCACTCGACACACATGCGGGTCACACCGGAGTCCCAACGAGTCCTCATTTGTTCTGAGTCCCACCTGCGCCCCGGACCGTCCGACAGCGAAGAAGATCCAATCCAAACCCCACAGAATCAAAGGAGAAGTTCTCTAAAATCTGTAAGTCACATGAGCCTGCTGAATTGAAAACGGCTTTTTGAGCTCCTTCCTGAGCGAAAAGAAACAAACGCTTGGCACGGCACATTGGATGGTTCTCATCCATGGGCCCCCAGTCCGTATCAGGATGATACGCGATGACATTGAGCCTCGGCTTCAGCTTCTTCAGCGACTGCGAGGCTAAAGACCACAGCGTGAGTGTTCAACAGGTTGAAACCCTCCAGTCTGTCGAAAGTCGGGTCATTAATTACCCTCCATCCAACAAACATGGAAGTGAAACATTGCCCCTTGGAAGACTGAATTCCTCTATGAACAGGCTCTATTCCACTTCCACGATTGTTTCAGGGAGGGTATATACTTGGTGGCTCGTTTTCACTTCGAAGAACGAGAGCCGCAGGCAGGTGGATTTCCACCTACATGTTTTCGAGGCAGCCGGACGGCACCAAGCCTAGTCAAGTGGCTCGTCTGAATCGGTGTGGAAGGAGTGGATGGTGCCACTGGGAATGGCCCAAACCATCCCTGGACAGTGGAACAGTGGATGGCACCTTGTGATCTATGAGCAAATCTAAAAGAATCAACCACAAATTAGACACATGTCAATTAAATGCCGCCTGTATGAGTATCAAGAACTTGCAGCTATTCCAATTGATGTGTCCAAAACTGTAATGGCGGTTGTGGACTGATGGGACAAATTCCGCAAATAAACATGATAGATTAACATATACATATATATATATCTGCGTCCATGCAACCGTTGTCCAGCACCGTTGAATTGACCTTCTGCCTATCATGAGTGGATCAGGACGCTCCTCCCTGAAGGGGATGGCACCGCCCCGCTTTAGCTGATGCCTGAAAGCAACTGTCCTCTTCAGTCCTCTCCAGTCCTCTCCGACATGCCTGGCTCCAAGTCGATGCGCTTGCCTGAGCCCTCCATACAGTAGCCAGACCCACTGGCGATCAGGCCGCAACCTGACGTGGGGCGGCGGCCCAAGCAATAGCGCCTGGGAGCCTTGCAAAATGATCAAGATGCATCAAGTTGCTTGAACTTAATGAGCGAAACATGCAATACAAATCCGCCAATCACATTCCTCGGAAGCTGGAGGAAAATCCCAACCTTAAATCAAGGAGGTGGCAGTCTGACTGTTGTGCACCATGGTGTTGTCAGGAAGCCTTTTTGCAGAACCAAGTCAGATTTTGCGTTGGATGCTCATGCCCCGCCGGTGATGCTTCTCAGAGTAGAGAGTAGGTGGTCACAACAGCACAAGGGATGTCTAGGGGGATGCCATCTACCCTGAAACACTAGAAGTTTGATTAATGAATCTCCCCAGTTGAATTGTAAAACCTCTTGATACGGAGGGGTCTTCTGTCACCCCCTTTCATTCCTCCACCCGCCGCCCCGTGCTCCACACCCTTCCTGCTCCCAGAAACGGAGAGAAGGATGGGTGTGCGGTGTTTGTCGGATGCCGGGCGGGAAGTGCAAGAGGTTCATGCAAGGATCTGCCAGCTTGGGCGGTGCCAAGAGCAGTGTGTCCTTGGTCACGGTCAAGAGCTCAGCGCTTGTAGTTTTTCAACTCACAGGCCTCAAACCTCTCCAACATCAAAGCCAATGAATCACCGATAGCTAATGAACAAACCTCGCCCGAGTTGCTTTGACCCGATGACCCTAAAAAAGAATTAACCAACAAACACAGAACTAAGCCTCCAGATGTCTCAGCTGGACACGCCCCAAGCCCACGACCCACCGACCCCTTTCTATTTGCTGCGTAGACCCACTTGAAGTTGGTGGCAGTTCATCCGCATCCAACCGTTTATCTAGCTCAGCATGCTTGCGGCATATCTGCATCTCCATCCGTTCCGGCAAATCAGCATGCATGTTTACCAGTGTGACTTTCCCAAACTTTGGATGGATAAAATACTATGAGGTAACATTTCTCCAAAACCAATTGAGGTGCTGGAAACTGGAAAACCTTGATGGATTGAAGGGTCGTATGGGAAGTCCTACATTGCATGGCTCAATTGCCCCAAAACCGTTGGAATGACCATTCCCAACTACCAGGGCCTGCCAGGGGGATAAACAACCAGCATCATTCCATCATCAATCCGAATGATGGCCCACTCTCAAGATGCATCCTCAAGTACTCCCATCCCCCCATACCCTGAGGATCTTCTCCCCATTCTTCTGCACTTCGGGCCTCGGAACACTTCTTCCCATCCGCTCGCC